ATGCCGCGGAGCCCCTCTGCTTTCACCTCGATAGCTCCCTGGTCGGGGCTCTCCTAGGTAATAACCCCACCGGCACACCCCCCACACAGTGCTTGGCCTGCCCAGAGAAACAGGTAGGGGAGGAAGAGAGGATCAGGCCGCTGAGAGCTCTGCAGGCCCTGCCCCTGCCCTGTGCCCCCAGGAGCTGCCTCGGCGCCTTTGCTGTCTCGGTGCTTTCCGTCAGGTGGGAAGGCCTCAGGCCCTTGTGCATCCTGGGGGTGGCAGGGTGCTGGCGGAAGGGTGGAGCTGTGCCACTCGCTGAGGTAGCAGAGCTGAGGTTTGGTTGATGGCTGTTTCTCATGGCCGGTGGTCTGTGAGGGCTCAGGTCTCTCTCCAGCCGCGTGGAAGGAAGGGGGCTCTCTCCTGAGCTGGTTTTGCTGCTCACATCTCTTCAGCTAAGGTGCTGTCTTGCCCACACCACACACATCTTGCATATCGTAGCATCGTTAAGGTTGGAAAAGACCTCTTAAGATCAAGTCCAACCATCGACCCAATACTACCATGATTTGGTTAATTGCCAAAAAAATTTAACTGCATTTTCCCGCAGTTTGTTGTAAAAACTTTATTTATGGATGCGTGCACTCATGTGTCTTGGGTTTTGATCACAACCAAATACTTAATAGTAACCATGTGTAGCTTTTGATACTTTTGCCTAAATATCTGTAATACTTGCAATGTCTCTTTGTAACAGGTCGGAGCGGAAGTAAGATTAAAGAACTTGAGAATTCTTCAGGTTCCAGGATAAAGGTACCATGTGCTGTGTGTCATCCAGGCCTGGACTGTTATGGGGCCGTATTTGGTTTTGTTTCCACATCAAACAGTTAGTGCATGAAGTTGAAGGGTGTTGCAATAGCTGTAATAATTCTAATCTTTTACAAGAATTGATAGAAAGGAAGTGGGATTGAGGGTGCAACTTGACTGGTATATGGAAGTAGGAAAAGCACACTGATATTTTTTTGCCTTAATTATACATTTAATTCTCTTTGTTTCCGCAAGGGAGATAAAGGGCCTTTTGCTGGGAAGAGAAGTTAAAATTCAGGGAAAAAGAATTGAAGATTGTTTTTCAGTACGTATTTTCTATACTGTTTGCAGTATTAAAAAACCTCAGGTTTTATGAACAACATAGGTTATAAAGGGAACCTATGAAGCTGAGGTGAAGATTTTTGGCAGCATTGCAGTGCAAAACAAAGCCAAGATGTTGATTGACGAAGCTGTTAAAAGATCTGGACAAAACTATGTTAGAGGTGAGACTGAAAAAGGTGAGAAATGTGTTCTGGAAAAATGTATGGATTGTCTTTCCATGTATTCAGTAGTTTGCTGAAGAGGTTTTATATTAGCGATAATTTACTGAAGGGAATTCACTTCAGTATTCAGTATTCACTTTTACCTTTTTCCTGGATAGTGGCATACCTTCTCAAAACAGAAATATCCTCCTTATTCAGATTCCTCCCCTCAAACTGCTAGACTTCTGTGAAAAACTGTTCCTGTGTGTTTTCAACAATTTTATTTATTGGAGAATGTTTTTCTACTTGGTTCCGTGCATTATCAGTCCGATTCCCCGTAAATACAAGTATTGGTTTTAGTTTAAGTTTTAATGTAGTATCTGTGCAGTATGAAAATTTAATAAGCTTTCATAAACATAGTCTACAAAGAAAATGTATTGACGATAGCACAGGTGATGCTGACTTCTTACTTTCGTGGCAAGTTAGCATTTCAGATTTGATGTTTCACATCATGCCTCACTTTACTAGGCGTTTTTATGTTAACTTTGTCTGTTACATGGGTGTATAAGTAATGGTTGTATGTTGAGATGCTGATTATGTTGTTGGTATTTGTCTTGTGAGTTTTGTTTTCTAGAAATGCCCCAGGAAGTAATGAGTATGTTTCAAGAGGCTAGAACTAGTTAACTCTTCCTTAGTATATGTGTGACTGTTTTCCCTGTTTTGTGCTTTTCCACTAATACATAATTATGTTGCCACTTACATCTTCAGTGTAAAACCTTTCCTTCTTAAGTGTTAACCTCACCAAAGAGAGAGTATAGAGTGCAACCACACTGAGAAGTTATTGTGGTGTCGTTTGATGCTTTACAAGTAAATCTTCTTGTAGCTGTTAAAAATAAAGATTTCTGTCTGCGTATTATCCGCTGGGTTTGTAAGTTTTTTAAAAAGCCCGCTGTGCACAAGCCTGATAGCTGGAGGAGCAGAATCTGTCATTACTTTCTTTAAGTAGCTAAAGATGTTGGAATGGCTCTTCTCTGAGAGAACTGAATTTGTACAGGTTTTACCGATATTTCAAGCTAAGGCCTAGGAGAGAATTTTCTAATGAAATACTTCACGCCCTTACAATAGAAAAAGAAAATAAGGTGCTTGTTTTGAGGGGTGTTCTCCCCTGCCTTGCAACAGATTCCATCAAACAGCAGCATTTTGGTACTAACCCCGCCAGAAGAACCTTTGATGTTATCAAGCCTGAAGATAGCCCACAGAAATCAGTGATTAACTGGGCCTCTCTTCGAGAAAACAAGGCTAAATATGAAGCTCTGAAATGGGCAGGTTAGTTTTAAAATTTCGACATATGATAAATCTGTTGAATGCTTAAATGTTTTTAATTTTTGCTTTGAGATGACTGAATCTTTCAGCATCCAAATAAGATAAGTATTTGCAGTGAAGTGGCCATGCCAGCATTTGTCAGCATGGTCACTGAGGATGCTATAGTTGCTGTTTGAAGATTCAGACTTGCTGCTCAGCTGGAGTTTTGATTTCACCCTTTGAAAACACTGTTGTTTTGTATGTGACCACAGCAAAAATCTGAGATTTTTTTAAATGTTGTACTATATGTGTTAGTAGCAATTACTTTAGAACCTGAAATTTGGGGAAGCGGTTCTTTTACATATACTTAAGTATCTCAGCCTTCATCTTTTGCATGAACAACAAGAGTCTTCCACCACTTGTGACTAGTCTAGTACAAGGCACTTTCTCAGTTTGGGGATTTGTCTTAAGCTTAGCAGACTTACCCTGAATATGTAGCATTTCTTACTGACTCTTGTTTTTTTCTGATTGTTTAAGACTTGCCTCCAATTGAGAAAAACTTCTACAAAGAATCGTCAAGGACTGCATCTATGTCACAAGAAGAAGTAGAACTGTGGCGGTAAGATCATTTCTGCAGGGAATCATCTGCTTGGCCAAATTAACTACTAAGGTATAAAGCCCCAGAAGGGGGAGATAAAATACTGAGACAGAAGCATTAATGTTAGGATCTTGTGATAACTCTTAGGAACTTTTTCTTAGGAATTAAACAATAACTACCAGATAAGGTATTATTAGTGGCTTGGAAAAATAACTTGTAGGGATTAACCACTTCTCTAGAAGTGTTTGCTGGATCCAAATGAAAGTCAACTAGATAAATCTACGTTCCTTGGCAAGAAAAGTCATAATCTAAAAAAAGTTGTGTATTTCAAGTGATTCAGTTCAGGTCCTGGCAGTAGTTTCAACCCTTTTCAGTACTTCTGATGATCATTCTTGAAGTGTTGTTTTTTATTACTCGTCTTTTTGCATATTGTTTGGTTTTTCTCTTGCGTGCCCACCAGAGAAACCTTGCCATAGTGAGCAAAGCATAGATTTGACACCTGTTTCTTTAAAGTATTTGTATATGTTATTGATAGAGCTATTCAGGAGCAACAGGACATTGTTCTGTAGGTTCAGAATATGCATTGAGGAATAGCACTGCTGTGATAAAAGAATGTTTTTCCTTTTTCATCAGATCTGTTTGCTTTAAGGAAGAAAAAGACAGTAATAGAAAAAAATACTTTTTTAAACATGAAGAGAGGTTGAATTGCCCATTCTTTTCCTCACACACTGGTTGAAGTAAAACTATTTGCTGAATGAGGATCTTCAGACGAGTAGAGGACTGGAATGCAGATAAAATACTTATGCATACTAATACCTCTTAACTGGAGTGGAGACTCAGAACCTCAGTTTTTAGTGTAGCTTTTTGTACGTGTGTTGTATTTTGGGGTTTGTCTGGATGGGGTTTGGGTGGTGGTTTTTTTCTGAGCTTGTCTTGCTGTCCACATTCTCTTTTCTAAACTGTTCAGTTTGTATTTTCAAGAGCATCCAGGGAGTTGCTCTGAAAACATTTTCAGAAACCTTTTGTGAGAATATAGGATTCTGACAAATATGTCCAATGCGTTCCTCCGAGTTACAGACTGTCTTTAGGCTTAATAACTTGTCACAGTTATTCAACTTGTAATAGAGTGTAATTTAAGTCTGATATGACAGGACTACAGTTCATGTTAATAACCATATATAACTCCAAATTAATCATTCTTAAAGAATGGTAATTGATTCCTCCAGGAAAAGTGTTTCTGTAGCAAGGCTTTCTTAGACATTAGAAGAATAGTCCCCAATCTCATTCAAGAGCCTCAGTTTTTCTGTTATTCCAGGAATTTTAAAATAGAACAAGTCAGAAGGGCAATCTTTTGTATTTGCTCTACTTTTTCAGATAATGAGACTTTAAAGCAATTGCACTTCTTTAATTCTATGCAGGAAAGAAAATAATAACATAATTTGTGATGACTTAAAAGAAGGTGAAAAACGCTGCATTCCCAATCCTGTTTGTAAATTTGAAGATGTATTTGAGCATTATCCTGATATTATGGCTAATATAAGAAAAGTTGGTTTTCAAAAGCCTACACCAATTCAGGTATTTCTTTAATTTTGATAACTTTTTAACTGAAGCTTAAGAGAACAGTACATTTAAGTATTTTTTTTTTTATGTTAGTCGCAGGCATGGCCGATCATACTTCAAGGAATAGATCTTATTGGCATAGCACAGACTGGCACTGGGAAGACATTAGCGTACTTAATGCCTGGATTCATTCACTTGACGTTACAACCGATGTAAGGACTACTCACATGTCTGAGTTGCTGTGTTGCATCTCCCTGCCCCCCCCACCCCTCATGTGTTGGTTTTCTAGTAAAGAAGGTAATAAATCATAATTTGGAAAAAAAAAATACAAGGCCTAGTGGAACGAGTACCAAATTTGTCACCATAGATTCCATTAGTAGCAATAAAACAGTTGATGTCAGGTGTGGTGGCCTTTGCCTGGCCTTATAAACCCACATTGTAAAGGTGCTTTATTGCAGATCCAAAGATGAACGTGGGGGGCCAGGAATGTTAGTCCTTGCTCCCACTCGAGAACTGGCGCTTCAAGTAGAGGCAGAGTGTGCAAAGTACTCATACAAAGGAATAAAAAGGTAATCTTACATCTTGCTAGTTAAGTATTTTTTTTCCTACCACTCGTGGCTTAATTCACCTACTGAAATAATTAAATTTGCTAAGAGAGGAAGGCGAGGTAGTAAACACAGAGTTTGTGTTTTCCCAGTTTTTAGAATGTCTCTTTTGACTACTCTAGCGGTGAAAATCTGTTTCTTACATAGTTGGAGTTCTTCGTATTTCAGCTTTGTTGCTTCTTCTTCTCTGCAAGCAGCCGAGAAGAGTCTGATGGTGTCCTCTCAGCACCTCGGTAGTTGCAGACAGCAGTAAGGTCTCCCTGAGCCTTCTCTGCAGGCTGAACAAGCCTGGTTACCCGCTTCTCATACCGTGCACTCCCTCCACCTGACCATTCTGGTAGCTGCCTGCTGGACTTGCTCCAGGGTGGTTATGTCTATCTTGGAGAAGAGGCAGGGAGCAAAACCAGGATGCTTTTCTGTGGGGTTATACTGCTGAATAATGCCCACCCAAGCCTCTCTGCAGAGCTGTATTCTAGCATGTTGGCCCTCAGCTGTGGGGTAGTTCCGTCCCCATGTTTGGTTTTGGTAAACTTAATGGGATTCCTGTCCATCCATTTCTCTAGCTTTTTGTGGTTCTTCTGAGTAGCAGCCTAGCCCGCTAGTGTATTGACAGCTCCCCCAACTTGGTTTCAGCCGCAAACCTGCTGAGACTAGATCTTCGTTTAAGCTATTAAATAGACATTACTGTACTCTAAAATTTACTTTTAGGACTCTCTGGTAACTTTGTATAGCTTTCAGAATTAGTCTTGTAATCGTCAAATACTGAAATGCACGTTCTACTTCCTTCACGAAAATACTAAGGAGTTTTACAGAGCACGTTAAGTCTGTGTGTAAGTCTATCGAGTGTGTGGATTGTTTTAACAGCAAAGCCACCTCACTTGTGATGATTTAGAAAATGGGGCATTCTTTCATATGTTCATCTATTTTTGATGTGAATATTTTGAAAGCAACCAAAACATACTCATAGCTTAATAGCTATTATTTTCCTTCCTTTTATGATTACATTCACTGCAATTTCAGCAGAAAGCTATTCCTGAACTGCTAAGAGAGTGTTAAGTCCATTATTTACTGTTACACTGTCAGTCACACTTACTGGATTCCTTCTTCTTGGTAATACCAGATCATACTTTTTTAAATGAAGCAACCTAGTGGCACATATTTGAAAAAGATTGGCTTTAGTGGAATGTTACTACACTGCTTCTGTAAAACACTTTATTTTTCAGCATTTGCATATATGGTGGTGGGAACCGAAAAGGACAGATAGACGTGGTTACCAAAGGTGTGGATATTGTTATTGCTACTCCTGGCAGACTGAATGATCTTCAGATGAACAACTTCGTAAATTTGAAGAGCATAACTTACTTGGCAAGTAGCTGATACGGAACAAGTAATGCACTGGTTGCTAAATGGTTGACGTAGTGTGAATGTGAACTTTAATATTGTTTAAAGAAAACTTTTTATGTCTTAATTACAGGACATCTTAATCTTGAGATTAGTGTTGGAGGGATGGTTCATACTTGCCATAATTGCATTGCAAGTGTGGAATATTCCCTAGAAAAAATAAAACAGGCATCTAGCACAGTAAGCATTTTAAAGATGCTTATTGGTAATATTTGCTGGTTTAAAGCTCCTTTTTGTCAAGATCAGTTATTAATGGATGAAAGGTTTTTCCCAAGTTGTCTTTTCTTTTTCTTTTAAAGATTACCAGTGACCAAGGTTCTGACTGATGCAGTAAGCACCAGAGTTGCAAACAGATACTTAAATGCTTGCATGACTTTCTTTTGATCCCTGGGGGAAAACAGACATGTAAACACTGTTACGAATCCTTGTGTATTCATTTCATTCTTGCCTTTTGCTGTGCTGGACACTTAAGACCATTACTGTTTTGTAAAATGCTTTCACATACTCAGTTTCAGAGTTATCTAACTGGTGACTTGGTGCTATCTCTTGTTTCCCTCTTACCTCTATCCTCATTCGCCTTTAAGGGTTAAATACTTACCAAGCTGTAACAAGTTGACGCCAATTCTAGCTAATAGTTGTGAGCTTACTGGTAGGGTCAATGCTGATATAGCATCATTACAAATTTGGCTATCTGGGAAAAAATAGTATTGGAAGACAAGAGAGTAGTCTCTTGTAGAAGAGTAACATGTAGTTGCTAAACAGGAGGAAGAAAAGGCCAGAAAACCTGCTTTCTGAGAACTTAGTACTCTTTCTCTACCAAGATGAAAAATGGTCATATTACAAGGACACACTGTTTTGTTAAGCTAAAAATACTTATGTAACCAAAATCAGATGTTTCAGTATGTGCAGGATATACTATAATAAGATGTTACTAAAAAGAGTTAGCTATCAGATTGAAAAGCACAGTAATGTAAAGCAGGAGGAAAACATTTGTTGTTGTACTGCTAGCAGTTAAGTATTTTCAGAAGATTGAAACTGGTGCAAGGACCATGTTTTGCAAAGTTGTTAAAGTCTCAGACTTTCTGGAAATGCTGTGCTTCTTTAGGTCCCGTATGAAAAATTGGACATCCAAAATTCTATTACTTTTTTTTAATATTGTCATGTATTTTTCCTCGTAGTTTCTTGTACTTGACGATACATAAGACGCCTTCTGTTCCCAAAGCTTCATTGTTAATTGTCAGCCAACAAATAATTTAATCTTGCAGCTTTATTTCAGAGAAAAAGAGAGAAGTGTTAGATTTCAGCTTCAACACCTTGGCTGAAGAATGCTCTTCATTGAAGGGCTTCATTTACAGTTTGCTTTAAAGATATTGATGAGTCCTCTGAATGCTCCCAGAGTGCACTGAGTATTATTTGCTGGTGTGATAAAATTTGTTTCTGTAACTGCTTCCAAGGTCAGAGACAGATACAATTATTTGTTTAAAGAAAAAAAAACCACAAACTTTGTTAGTGTTAATTATATTTGAATATGCATTGTACACAAGGTGAATTGGAAGCGGAAGAGTTGTCATCTTGCCTGACAGAACCACCAAGTTAGTCACAATCTTGACAGAGATTTTTAGGAACTCGTTTATTTAAGATAGGCTGCTGTTTTTCATAATTTCAGAAGAAAGACTGGGAAATTCTGTCATACGTGGCTGTTGGATTGGTTACAATACACATCATTTGAAGATTGCTTTCAGTTTTGCTGTATCCAGTGTAAATTGATATTCATTCATCCATTAGTAATCCGAGTGCTTTTTTCTTTTTGACTTTATACTCATAAAGCAGAAGTAAGGAAATTGAGTTGTGCGTCAATAATTTGGAAGCATTTAGAAAGGAGAGTATACTATAAAAATATGTAAAGTAGGATATAGAAGGTACGTTGGAGTGACCCCTTTATTCTTCCAATACAAAAATAAGTGTAAAACTTAGCAATAACTGGCAGAGGAGAGAAAACACTTTTCACATGAAGAACTGGCTTTTAAGAATTTCTTGCCAAGCAATAGGACTGAAATGAATAATGTTAACAAACAATTAAATATGTATAGATAACAAACTTAAAATTATGTCAATTGCAGGGAGATTTAGCTTACAAACGAAGACCTGGCTAGGAAGCATTTGGAAAAAATAGTGCTAATGTCTATCTGACAACTGTTGCAGCCTTCCTTCTTTATTAAGCAGCTATCAGAAATAAGGAAAGTAAACTTCATCTGCTCTGATCTATCTCATGCACATACACATAAGTGCTTTCTTCTCACTTTCTAGCACAGTACCTATGTGTGTAATAGCTTAGAAAGCTTCTGCTGCTGAAAGTGGTGTGGTAGCCAGCTCTCTCTATAAAATTAATGATATTTCAGCTGTACCACTGTCCAAGTAATGAAATCTCTGTGAGTCCTTTGAAGATAGAATGAAACCAAGAAATAGAATTCTTATCTACTGTGTCTCAGAGATTTTCATAGATAATATGAAGATTTCATAGATTTCAGAGATTTGCATAGATAAGGTGCTAAAAATATCTGAAAAGAATGGAACAGCAAAACCAGGATAGTACAAAGGGCTTATCATCGAAGTCTTGCATTTCCACAGAAGTGACTAGAAAATGTCAATACTTAAAAGCATGATCCATAAAGCTTTGATTTATATAAACTCTATTTGAAAATTAAAGGGAAAAGTGAATCTTGAATGGCAGTCTTCTTCCTGTATATGAGACTCTGAAAATACTGACAAATGTGCTTGTATATTAGATAAAAGATCAGTTCCAAGTAGTTGTACTCAGACTTTCAGCTCACTTGTTCTCTTGATTTTTTTAATTAGATGAAGCAAATTTGAGCTCTAGGAGTTCTGCAGTGTCCTAGTGTGAGCCAGAAAGTACAATCTGGGGTTTTTTTCCTACTTCTCATGAGGAACTAAGTTGATAACAGAGAATTGGTCTGGTATGAGATCTCTAACAAGGTAGAGATGAGATTTATTTTTTTCTTTAAATTACTGAAAAATTCTTGCTGGAAAGGGTGTTATGTGGGGTCATCCCCTCCCTAGGTTTAGCTGGTTTTGGGTTTTTTTCGGTTTTTTTCATTTTTAGTTTTAGGCACCGACCGAATTATTGTTCAAAAAATCAAACAGCTACTGTTTCTTCTTCGTTGACTTTAAGTGCTCTTAAAGGTGCCATGGGATTTATTGCTCTGCCTGCAAATGTATTACTGAATGAAAAAGCTTCAAGGAAATTGAAGAAGTGAAATAGAAGTTTTTGCAATACATTATGGAGTGGATTATGCAAATTAGTTGTTGCCATTAAATGGTCTGCTATGTTACGTCTTGCTGAAACCCATCACTAAGGAACTAGACACAGTAAATAACCTGTTTCTGAGCAGGTTCTAGATGAGGCTGACAGGATGTTGGATATGGGATTTGAACCTCAGATAATGAAGATCTTAATAGACGTGCGGCCTGACAGACAAACTGTTATGACAAGGTATGAAAACACAGTAGCCCTCAGTACTCGAACACTGTAACCGTAAGGCTATTGAACAAGTTAACTTCAAAACCAATGTGCCCGTTTAATAAAAACTTTCACTAGCCGAAATGGGAGTGGCATCAGTTTTCTTTCTAATTCTATCTTAATGAGTCATTTGACAATTTTATTTTCATTGTATAGCCCTTTTCTGATGTTTAACAACAACCATAAAAACAACTGACTTCTTCCCGAAAGGGAAGGTGTCCTGGGAGTGCTAGAATTTGCCACGTCAATTTGAACCACCAACTTCTGCTTCTCTGTCTGGGACCAGATGTGTGTCATAACCTCCTGATCAGTATCTGTGGTAGTCTGTACCTGGATTAATTCTGGATTTTGCAGGTTTTAGGAGCTTAACAGTAGAGTATCTCAACACTAGTTTTTGTTACTGTATTTCACACTAGAGCTATTGTTTTAGAGATAAAAGTGGACTGGAAACTTGCTTATTAGGTATCACTGAACTGCTGAACTCACTTTTGGCTTCATTAGAAAGGCTCCGTAACTGTTGCCTGTACTTTTAACCTAGAAAGTTATCTTTAATGGTCGATTGCTGTTTGCTAATAGCTTCTTAAGATTATTTCTAAGTGTTCTATAAGCTCACTACTCTTATTGTGTACTCAAGTGTTTCGCTGGTGTATAAGAAAGAAAAGAAAGAAGAATGATGAAATTAATGAATTGGATGAGATTTTGCACTCTGTTCTTATGTGTGTTTGTCTTCACTTCCTGTTTAGTGCTACTTGGCCAGATGGTGTTCGTCGTCTAGCAAAATCCTACTTGAAAAATCCTATGATTGTATATGTTGGCACTCTTGATTTGGCAGTAAGTTCTGTTTCTTTTTTGTTCTATTATTTTGTGGTGTTTGGTTTTTTTTCTTTTGGAGAAGAACTCCAGTTAAAAAACTTTAAAATCAATCCAAACTATCAAAAAATGGCTCCTTATTGTTCTTTTAAAGCTTCTCTAAAAGGTTAGAAAGAGCTAAAAAAACACAACAACAACAAAACAAAAAAAAAAGAGCTTTGTTCTTAGGTTTCTGTAACAAGGTGTTGAAAACTTGGAGTCTTAGGTATATAGTAGATGTCCCAAGTATCAGTCAAATTGATTTGTTGAATATTATTCTTCACAGTGCCATGTGTTCTTGCCTGAACCGTTATTTTTGCAGCCTTCACTTCAGTTCAGCAAGATCTTGTTACTTCCTTACTTTTCCGTCAGAGAGTCTTGCTTTTAACACATAGAGATTTTTAACTGAATCTGTGTTCAGCTGCTGCTTTCTCAAAGAGCGTGGAAGCTCTCTACTAAACTCCTGGAGGGCACTTGTCTAGAGCAGGAAT